GAATGGGGGGTGGTTAATCCTTTGCTTTTCCCTCCCTCTGTGGTCAGTGCTCTCTGTGCTGCACCAGGACTGTGAACCCAGCGATGCCTCTTGTCCCATCAGGGGAAAACTTTGCTCCAGGGAATAAAGAGTGACAGAAACTGGATGAAACCCCCAATTTCCCAACTCCTAGGCAACTAGGCAGTGCTGTCTTTGGAGGCTGAGCTTTATTTAGAGCAGGAGCAGGCTTGTTTTGGGAAGCAGCCTGGCATGGACAGACAAGAGCTCAGCAGAGCTTCCTGAGGCTTCCCACCATGGACTGGGGACTCCTGGATGTGTCTGTGTCCTCCTCTTCCTCACCTGCAGGCGTGTGTTTTGGAAGAGGGAGGGGAAAATAGTCCAGTAATGACCAGGACCATCACTCCTTTTAAAAAAATAAAGAGAAGGGGAGTCAGAGCTTTTACTCCTCAATTGTTGCGTCTCATTTTTTACCATCTTAAGGATTTTTAAGGGTCGTGAAACTACATAAACCCAAATGTCGCTGCAGCTCCTAAGTTCCTCTTGGTTTGTTTTTTTTTTTAATGTTTCCCAACTCCTGCAGGTGACTACAAACTGGAAGGGTGTTTTTTTTCAGTAGTGTGAAAGCTCAGTGTCCAACTGCTGCTTCCCAGCACCAACTGGTATTTACTGGGAGCAAAAGAAAATAGGTGGAGCAAATGGTGGTGAAGCGAAGCAGCAGGAAGCAGGTGTCAAGGGTCTGCACAGGGCTTTGCTGCTGCTGGGCTGCAAAACCAAGTGCCTCTTGGCAGGGAGATGTCCCTAAGTAGACTGAGGAGCTGGCATCCAGTTGAAGTTTGGGAGTGGAACTGGGTGGTTGGGTGATATTTAATCCACCCTGGATCTTGATGGGCTGCGATCCAGAGCATTCTGCAATATTTGGGGATGGGGGTGGAGAGGGGTCAGGCTGCCTGTCTCAGGAGGGATGGTTGGCTGGATGGTTTTGTGCCTGCTTCCCAAGGATGGGGAGAGTGTGGGGAGGTGGCAGGCATAGCTGGTTGTAGCCTGGGAGGAGGTTTGTGGGTTTTCCAGTTTGTTTTCCCTGTTCTGTGGCCACAGGCAGGTGCGATGCCAGCGCAGACCAAGGTGCCGTTTTCTTTCCAGTGAATCAATATTGATTGATTTATTTTTTTTTTTGGCCCAAATCACAGTTGCCTCGTGGGCAATAGCAGCACTCCCCCCTTCCCCTTTGGGTTTCAATGAAACTGGGATTTGGAGATGAGCACAGGATAAAATTAGATGGGATGAAGCAACTTGGATACCAAAGCAGTGAGCGAGGTGTGTGCAGCTCCCCAGCACCTCCCTGCCCTGCTGCACCACCCGTGCAAGGAGCTTTTCCACATCCCAGAGCTTTTCCACATCCCAGAGGATTTTATCACAGTGAAAGCAAACCCCTGGCATTGCCCTTTCACCAGCTGGGCAGTGCCAGCACCTCAGCTCCCTGCAGCATCCCCTTGGATGAAGCAGCCAGCATGAGCCAAGGTGGGAGATGGAACACCCAGCACGGTGCTGGGGAGCCTGATGAGCACATGGTCATTTCTTAATGATGATTTTTTATTTCTCCTCCTCCTTTGTGCAGGTAGCTAAAACCCAGGGTTCTAGCTGAGCCACAACTGTGCTTCACAACGATGCTTAAAATGGATATTTTTGTAGCATAGTCAGGGCCTAAAACAGCCTTGCAAAATTCTGCTCGCCCACGCGCCTGGCGTGAGTAATTTTCTTTTGATGGGTGAGTAAAATATCATTATTTTTTTTTCATGCTCATCTTGGAATGGGTGGGAAGAGTCGATTTCTGACATTATTTTGGATTTGCTGAACACTGACACTGTGCTTGGCTCCGTGCAGGATGCAGAGGTAGGAGCAGCCCAAGCTCCGGCGAGCTCCTTTGCTGAAGTTGAGGAAGGTGCCTCATTTCTCCTAAACCAACAGAAAAAGGCTGTTTTCCTCCTGGTTTTCCTTCTCCCCTGCTGCAGGGGCTTGCTCTGACATCCCTCTGTGGTTTCATGCCTGCATGTTCCTAGGGAAAAGCTTGGATGCCTTTATTTCTGAGGGATCCACATTCCACCCCTTTGACCTTCCCTCTCTCCCCTCCACCCGAGAGAAAACCCAGCCCAGAATTTGGCACAGTCTCCCTCGACATAAGCTGTTTGTGATCTGTGTGAACAATTTCTTTTTCTATTTTTTTTGGGTATTCTTTTTTTCCCCTTTTTTTTTTGTGCCTTGGTGCTGTGTTTGGAGCCGTTGCCATGAGTTCCTACTTGGTGGGGGGGGAGTGGGGTGGGACGGTTCATGTGGTTGCCATGGACACCATGTAGTACAGCCAGGCATCCAGAGCCTTGCTTGGGATTCATGGATAACCCCCCCCTCTGCCTCTTCTTGCCTTTCTCACCTGGGCAGGGCTGGGAGGGGACCATAAAGATCATCTAGTTCCAACCCCCTGCATGGGCAGGGACCCCTCCCACCAGCCCAGGCTGCTCCAAGCCCCATCCAACCTGCCCTTCAACACCCCCAGGGATGGGGCAGCCACAGCTTCCCTGGGCAACCTGGGCCAGGCTCTCACCACCCTCACACCAAAGAATTTCCCCCTCATCTCCAACCTCAATCTCCCCTCTTTCCATTTAAAACCATTCCCCCTCGTCCTCTCCCTCCCTGCCCTTATCCCAAGTCCCTCCCCAGCTTTCCTGGAGCCCCTTCAGCTACTTGGAATCTTGTGGTGACTCTTACAGAAAGATGTTGTAGGGATGTTTCACCCCCAGCCATGATGATCCTCACTCCAGTTCACTGGATAATGGCAATGAGAAAGTGAAAGTTATTACTTCCACTTTTGCATCCTCCTTGGGTGCTCCCAACCTTCCTGTTGGTGTTTGTAGGAATGCTTTGATCTCTCCCTGATAGTGGCTAGTCCTGTGAAGAGGCAGATGATCTGGCTGGAATGATGCCTCCAGCCAAGTCCTTTCCCAGAGTTGGAGCTTGGCACAGCCTGGGAGAAGGGAAGGGCTCAGGAAAGGGTCTTGACTCTCACAGAGGGAATTTCTGGAGTAGCTTAGGGACAGTTTTTGGCTTCACAGGTATAAATGGATGGTTTTGTAGAAGCCCTCAGCATGCCACCTAAGAAGTAACAAGTGATAGAAGGGGAGGAAATGGCCTCATGTTGTCCAGGGGATGTTTAGATGGTATATGAGGAACAGTTTCTTCATAGAAAAGGTTGATAAGCTGCCCAGGACAGTGGTGGAGTCCCCATCTCTGGAGGTGTTTGAAAGCCACGTAGATGGTTCTGGGGGACAGGGGTTAGTGGTGGCCTCAGCAGTGCTGGCTGAATGGTACTGGGTGATCTGAAAGGTCTTTTCCAACCAAAAGGATTCCATGGTTCTATGAAATCTTTGGGAAGCCCAGCCTCAGTGGGCTGGCACAGGAGGCTGGTGTTGTCCTCCAGGCTGCAGGCAGAGAGTGGTTTCTTTGCTGTGAAAGAATTGAGAGTTTGGGTGGCAATCCAAGGAGTGAAGAGCTCTGGCAGCCACCCAGGCTGTGCTGGCACTCGGGGTGTTGGTTGGGAAAAAAACCCAAAAAGAAGCCCTGAAACTTTCCATGGGCACTAGGCACAAAATGTGAGTGTAGTTGGTGGTCTGATGGTGCTGGTGTTACTGGTGGGAACTGGTTGGTACCAGCAGGTCACATCTGCAGGTCCCCAGCACACGCTGCTGTGTCCAGCACTGCCCAACATGTTGATTTTTGATGGTTCCAGAGACTTGGTGTCACTTTTCCATAGTGTCTGGGTATTTAACCTCCAGAACTGGGGGTGAGGGAGCACATTGTCCCAGCCCTGCTCTCCCTGCTGCTTGCCATAGCTGCTGCTTTTCCATCTGTCTGTCCATCCTTCCTTCCCTCCCCAGCAAAGTAGCTCAGTCTGGCATCCGCAGGGGCTTATCAGCTGTGGGTGAAAATGCTTCACGTTTATCCCTTGCTTATCAGTGATGGGTCTTCTGGGGCCTGAAAAGGGGTTTGGTGGTAATGTTCAGGTGTCTTCAAAGGAGGGCTGGAGCAGCTCTGCTCTGGAGCCAGGCTGGGAGAGTTGGGGTGTCCAGCCTGGAGAAGAGAAGGCTCCAGGGAGACCTGAGAGCAGCTTCCAGTGCCTGAAGGGGCTCCAGGAAAGCTGGGGAGGGGCTTGGGACAAGGGCAGGGAGGGATGGGATGAGGGGGATGGATGAAACCTGGGAGAGGGAGATGGAGGTTGGAGATGAGGAGGAAACTCCTTGGTGTGAGGGTGGTGAGAGCCTGGCCCAGGTTGCCCAGGGCAGTTGTGGCTGCCCCATCCCTGGGGGTGTTGAAGGGCAGGTTGGATGGGGCTTGGAGCAGCCTGGGCTGGTGGGAGGTGTCCCTGCCCATGCAGGGGGTTGGATCTGGATGAGCTTTCAGGTCCCTTCCCACCCAAACCATTTTGTGAGTCTGTGATGCTCTGAAAGGTGCTGCAAGGGGAAGAGTCACATCCCTTAATTATTTATCCCAAGTGCCAGCCGGGCTCTCCAGCTTTCCCAAGCCAGGGATGGAGCCAAGTTTTGATGTCCTGCTCTGTCCAACGTGGCAGAAAGACCCTCCCCTCCCTAAATCAACGATGCTTTAGTCTGGCAGTTCCTCCTGCCTTGGTTTCAAGGGACTGGCAGGGAGTGGGAGGGGGAGCTCTGGTTTTTCAAGCCCAGCTCCCCACAGAGCTCATTGAGCTGTATCCCCCCCTTGCCCCTGAGGTTTGTTTGCAACTCTCCTGTGCATCCAGAGGAGAATGAGCAGCTTTGGTGTGTGGCCCTGCAGTTTGCACATGGAAAAGCCAAGTAAATAGATGACATTGCTGGGGAAACTTCAGAGAAAATGAGCCACAGCTTCTCCCACCTTCCCCTCCCTGGGGTTCCTGAGCATCCCCGAGTAAAAGCTCGCAGGATTCTCTCCACCCACACTTTTCTTCCTACTTTCAGCTCTTCTCAACCCCTCCCTGCAGATCTTCACCCTCCTCCCTCTCAGCTGAACCCCACCACTTTCCCAAACTCCCTGTGACCTCCCTGGGAGGGGCGCGGATGGCGGGGTCGGGGGCCAAGATGCTCCGGTATGGGGGGCGGACTGAGTTGGGAATGCTCTGGCTGTGACTCAGCGTGCTCGTGCTCTTCAGGAACAGGATTTCAAGGGATTTCACACCCCAAACACAACCCCAGCTTTCACTCGCTCAGCAGAAATGAGAGATCAAAAAAAAGAATGCACCAATTCCGGTTTTTCTTCGGCGCGTACAGAGCCGTGCTCAGCTTTGAAGGCACCAGTGGTTGCTCTCTGACTTGTTTCCGTTATCCTACCTTTCCTAGCCAGAACAAAACATCTGCTGCCTCTTCAATTTTGAAGGTTGTAAGCTTTCCCAGGCTGGGACATTGTCTCCTGGAGGGGCAAAAATCCCTGGTACCAGCAGCATCTTCCCGTCGCCTTTTGAGGCGCGAGGTGAATCCGTTCGTTTTAAAAGCTCAGCTCCTGATCTATTTTGCTTACTGCTTTTTTTCTTGCTTATGCATCTTTTTTTTTTTCCTGCCTCCACATCCTCCCCCCCAAACTGTATGAAAAGGCAAAGATTCAGAAACCAGGAAGATTATCTCCAATTGTAAAATAACAACAAAAAGAAAGATAATTGGGGAATAGACATAACTTGCACCGGGTTATTTTTTAGAGGTTTGACTGAGACAGACATAATTGGCCAACTGGCATCACGATGCTAATAGAGATATTTACTGCTTCCAAGTGGATTTGTGAAGCACTCCAGTGACTTTCCTTTGTTCTGGAAGGAAGTAGCTGGGCTGGATTTCTATCCTCCCCCTTTGTGATGCAGAGATGGGGACAGGACGGGTGTTCCCCTGTGTCCCCCTTGGCACCTATGCCAGTCCCTGGCTTTGCCTTGTCCATTCCCTGTCTTTCTTACCAGAATTGCCTTGATTTAACCCAGTTCCCCAGAGGACAGCTCCAGTTGGGATTGCCTCCTTGGTAGACAAGGCAGAGGGGACACAGGTGATGATTTAATCACCCTTTTAATTGCGCGTTCCCGCTAGGAGCCAGCTTAGCTCCAGCTTGAAACCTGTGCTTGCCCCAAGGTTTCCCAGCAGCCCCCACTGGTTTTTCCTGGGATCATTCACTCCCCTGGGTAAAGACCACATCTTTTTCTCCTCCTTCCACCGAGGTAGGTTGATGCCATCACTTCCAAAAACATGAAGTGACAGCACCTGCCTGTGGCCGGGACATCCTGTGCCCGCCGGAGTCAGGGAGGTGCCTCATTTCAGTTTATATTTGACCCATGGAGGAAAACACAAAGCAAAAAAAAATCCTTATTTTTTTGTTGCTTTCTTCCTGTAAGGCACTTACACACCCAGTTATTGACAGGGTAATTATACACCAGACAAGTGTTTGTTTATAAAAGAAGTGTGATTCAGGGCTGCCGGGCCTGCCACCGGAGCTGGAAAGGGTTAAGAACCTCAAATTATATCAGTCCAACTGGAGAACCATAAACAGGAAACTCTCCAGAAGAGAAAAAAAACACCTTAAATTTAAACCTGGTGACTCAAGTTGGCTTGTGCTACCCAAGCTGCTCAGGAGGTGCAGGCTGGTTGCAGCCCTGGTTCGTTACTGGTGGCTAATTACACTGTTGGTTTGAAAACAGCAGCAAAGGTGGGCAGGGGGGATTGGGTTGTTGGATCATCTTGGTTTGGCTTCATCTGCAGGGATGGTGTGGTGTTCATAGCATCATGGGATGGTTTGGGTTGGAAGAGACCTGAAAGATCATCCAGATCCAACCCCCTGCATGGGCAGGGACACCTCCCACCAGCCCAGGTTGCTCCAAGCCCCATCCAACCTGCCCTTCAACACCCCCAGGGATGGGGCAGCCACAGCTTCCCTGGGCAACCTGGGCCAGGCTCTCACCACCCTCACGACAAAGAATTCCCTCCTCATGTCCAGCCTCAATCTCCTTCTCCCAGTTTTCATCCATCCCCCTCATCCCATCCTTCCCTGCCCTTGTCCCAGGTCCCTCCCCAGCTTTCCTGGAGCCCCTTCAGGCACTGGAAGCTGCTCTAAGGTCTCCCTGGAGCCTTCTCTTCTCCAGGCTCAACACCCCAACTCTCCCAGCCTGGCTCCAGAGCAGAGCTGCTCCAGCCTTGGATCATCTCCATGACCTTCCCTTTGGACTTGCTCCAACAGCTCTGTGTCCTTTTGTTGGGGATCCCAGAGCTGGACCCAGTCCTGCAAGGGGGTCTCACCAGAGCAAAGCAGAGGGCCCCTCCCTGGCCCTGCTGGTCATGCTGCTGGTGATAACACAGGACGTGGTTGGTTTCTGGGCTGCCAGCACATGGTGCCAGCTCATGTTTGTCTTCTCCTCACCCTGCACCCCCAAGTCCTCTTCAGCTCTGTTCTCCGTCCATTGTCTACCCAGTCTGGATTTGTGCTTGGAATTGTCAGAACCCACGTCCAGGACCTTGCACTTTGTCATGAGCACTTTCTTTCATCAGGTGACATTGCTCATAGCTGCTTTTACAGCACGTTTTGCTAATTAAAATATTTTTGGTGTTCCAGTTGATGGTTGAGCTGTGTTAGAGCAGTGAGGGAACCTGTGAGGAAAGGTTTCCTCCAACACCAGGGAAACCTGGTGAGAAACAAAGGGAGAATCAGCCTCCTGTTTGCTGCCCAGCAGTCAGAAAAAGCAGCTTGGGAGGCAGTGTGACCAGCAGCCAGGGTCCCAAAATGTGTGTCCCTGGCTGAGATTTTGGGTGGTAACACTGTGAGAATTTGGACTGGCCCAAGAAAGGACTGGGGCACCTTCCCAAGAAACCCCTGGTGTGGATTTGGGATGGGATGCTGACTGATGAGCAATAGGCATCCTCAAGGTGAGGCATCTCTGGGAAAAGGTTTCTTCTCTCCCTTTTAATTATGAGACCAATTTTACCTTTTCATTTGAAGCAGTATGATGCAGAGATCATTGGGACATTTTGGATGAGGAGCTTATAACCAGGCAGCACCTCTGTAACTTCATTAAATCCATTCAAAACTGCAGTTGAATCCCCCTGATTTTCATTCTCCTGGTAGGTGAAAGAAATCCAATTATTTTCAGGATGCTGCCTGGCTGTAACTATCTGACCCAGCCACCCTTACATATGTTGTGTAATTTACTTGGAGTACTCTTCACCTTTCAACAAGCTCGTGGGGGGAAAATCATTCAGGTAACCCAGATTTTCCTCCCAACCATCTGAAGGATTTTAAGAATGAAGGTTGTTCTGCTGGCAGGTGACCTGCTCCTACAGCTGTTGTATCACAGAGATCCTTTGAAGCAGCTCACAGCTCCAGACACTGGGGTTGTTCCTTTTTTTTCATATCATCTTTCTAAATATTTACAGGGTTTTGTTGGGGTGGGTTTTTTTTATGATTGTTGGTTTTTTTTCCCCTCCCCTTCAGATTTGTTTTTAAACAGAGCGTGTTCTTCAGAGGTTTGTTTTGCCAAGAAATGCCTGGAGCAGCCCTTGTGTTTATTTGCCATACTTGGACGGGGGAGGGTGAAGAAAAGGGGGGGTGGTCCTGTGGATGGGGGTGCTGGCTTTGTGGGGGGACACATGGAAAGGGATGGAGCTGCCCCAGGACAACCCTGCTCACCCTCAAACCCACCACCAAGGACAAGCCCCGCGGGGCTGTTGGTTCCGAGCATCGCTCGCTCACACCTCCCCTCTTCTCTCTCTTTCCCAGGATACCATTCAAGATCGGGCAGCCCAAGAAACAGATTGTACCCAAGACAGTGAGTAAACCAGTTCCCCCTTTTTAGCTCCAGCCTTTGATCATGTGGCTGATGAGTCAAGGCAGCACTTTGACTCGTCCCATTTTGCGAGCGGGAGCGTGTGCGCGCGCGTGGGCGGCAGAAGGGAGCGAGCAGAACCTGTTGCTGCGTGTGACCAGTGCTGGGTTCCTCCTGCAGGGAGTGAGGGGGAGCCCCAACCAGGGAGAGTATTTTGGTTAGGGATCCATATCTTTTTTTTTTCTTTTCATTATTCTTTTTTATATCTATTTTTTTTTTGGAGGGGGGGGGAGTTGAGAAGAGCTCTTTGGGCCTGGCACAGTTTTCCTTGGAGATGGCTGAACGGGCTTCCTTCCTTCCTTCCTTCTTTCAGCAATGGCTTGTTTGTTCATCCTTTCTGAGCAGATGGAGGAGGAGGAGTGGTTCAGATTGCTGAATATAACTGTTTCCAAAGAAAGGCTTATAAGCTGAGATGCTTAGTGCTCGGGCGTGAATTAATTTGTGCTGCACAGCATTTGCTTTAAAAGCAAATTAAAAAAGCATTTTGTATTCTCGTGCGTTTGAGACTCCTATCCCAAGTGCTGGTGCTTGCAGCTGGCTGTGGTATTTTCCCTCCTTGAGCAGATGGTCTTTGCCTTTGTCCCGTGCAGAAAAAAGCTGTGGGACCTCACAGTAGCTGTGCCTGAAAACTAACCTGCATACCTGCTCTAAAATAAGAGCCCTGCCAGTGAGTGTGGTGGAGACCTTGTCTCTGTAACGACGTTGGTGACCTAATCTCTTGAACAGGCTGACATCTCTGATCCTTCCCCTCTGGTACACTCATGGTGGCTAATTCCTCAGGATGTGTGGGCACTCGTTTATGGGGCAGTTTCTCCTTGGGGCATGACATTTTCCCCTGGAGGCAGAGGGCTGGTTCTGCCACTCCCTTTAGGGCTCGATTGCCATGGTTTATTTGAAAGGATTTGGTCGCTGCCTGCTGCCGTGGAGCAGCAACTTTCTGTAATGGCTCCAAAATTTAAGCCAGGCAGGAGATGAAAGCAAGGGCTGATAAATCTCTCAGTGTTTTTTTGTATCTCTTCAGCTGCCCTTTTTTCAGGGGCTGGTGACCATCCGGTGACTGTGGAAAGCAGCCCACCAGCCTCAGGTCTTTGCACCCATTTCAGTTCAGTTCAGGAGCCCCCACTATTCCTTGCTCCACAAGATTTTACATCCCATCATCTTCCCTGATGTTTCCAACACCAGTGTCCTTCCAGGCTGCTGCAAGAACTGCTCTGGGTGTCTGGGCCAGCTTTCTTGGACATATCCATCCCACTCTTTCTCACATCCAAATGGACTCTGTTTTCTCTCTTGCCAGCACTTGCTGGTTTCCCTCTGCTCCTGCTGCGTGTGGTGTTGTGAGAGGTTTGTCTGAAACACTTTGTTTTCCCCATTCTGGGCTCCCTGGCTGCTGAAAACAGCTGTCCCTGAGCTGTGGCAGGAGCTTGGGCTCCATGTAGATGAAGGGTTGCACCTTTGAGAGCTCTTCTTCTGCTGAGCTGCTGGTCTGTGCTGTTCTGAGGCAGCTGGCAGATATATGTTGCTTTTATATATATATACGTGTGTGTGTATTAAATAGAACAGCTCAGAATACCCAGCAGGCAGAGGTTCATTCAGCAGCACAAGCATTTCCAGGCCTTTTTTCCTTTCCTTCTTCCTTTCTTCCCCCTCTTCCTCAGCTCCCCCAAGAAGAACAAGTTTTTCTGTCAACAACTCGGTAGCTCAAGAGTCGGATGCTGATTTGTAAATGGCTTCCACTTGCCCTGGGTTGAGGATGATGGTTCTCTCCAGGCAGCAGATCCATGGAAAGCAGCAACCAGGAAGCTCCAAGCTTTCCAACCTCACAGCAAGTGCAAAGTGCAGCTCTTCAAAGAGGAACCCATGGCAGGAAACCACTCATCTCCCCTGGGAGCGAGGCCTTCAGCCTCCTGGGGTGAAAGGGATGAGGCTGCTTTGTGGCTTTAGTGAGCTCCAGGCCCCCAACTTTACCTCCCAGTTGCAGGCTGAGATGCTCCATCTGGATGAGCTTTTGGGAGCAGCAGCCCAGGGCTGTCATATTCCAGATGTTGGGCTGGGGAACCCGCTGCAGGAAGTGGGAAGGTGTGGCATCTCCAGGGCTGCATCCCAAGCTGATCAGAAGGGAAGTGGTTGTGGGTAGATGATCTCCCACTCACAGAGGCTGGACCACAAAAGAGGAGGGGAAGGAGAGAGGGGAAAAAAAAAAAAAGACAGCAATCTGTTTGTTAGGATCTAACCCCTTTGGCTCTCCATGAGGCTGTGTAACTTGAGTGCAGGAGAGGGGAGAACCACTTTGCTGAGAGAGGCTTGGCTCACCAGCCAGCCTTTTTTTTTTTTTTCCTTCTCTTTGATGAAATGATGCTGGGGCTGGTGTCACATCGAGTAGTACTGAAAAGCAGTTTGCCCAGGCTGCAGAGGGAATTAGTCATGACTCCCTGTGCCCACTCGTTCCTGATCCCTTGGAGAAGGGCACGGTGTCAGGCACGGGTGAGCTCTGCAGGTAGAAGGAAACCCCCCTAGAAAATATCAGCTGGTGAACTGAAGTGATCTCTCGCCCCCCAGACATGCCCCTGCTTTGTTTCCACCTTAACCTGGGCAAATCCAATTCCAGACAGCATAATCTCTCCCCTCCTCTCCCCTGAAAAGAGCAGCTGTCACCAGGCTCTCCGAGAGGCCAGGAGCTGGGTGGGAGGATCTAATGCTCCGAGAGGACCTGCTGTCAGCAGAGCCACAGAGGACACAGTAGCACAGCCCAATTAAACTAATGCCCAGTGATAGGAGTTAAACCTGTTAGAATTATATCTCTCTGCAGAATGTTTCTTGCTCAAATCCCATGCAGAGATGAAGCTTCTTATGGCAGAGATGTTCTTCCTTCCCCCAGGACAGCGACATCAGTGCGAGCAGAGGTTACACTGGAACCTGCTTGTCTTCTGAGCTCTCTTGTTCCTGTCTTCTGAGCTCTCCTGCAGCTCCAGCTCACTGGAGTTCATCTGTGTCCCCCTGAGGTTGTTCCCTGCTCTTCACCAAGGCTGGGGTTATCTGAACTAGCAGGTAGAAATGCTGGTTGTGCGTCCCCATGGGGCACGGAGCCGGGTGGGAAGCCAGGAGAGCCAGCCAGCTCTTGGGATGGGACAACCAGCACACAGCCCCTTCACATCACCTCAGGTTTACCCCTTCCTCCCTCAGTAGCTCTGGCCTGGGCTGACTCAGATGGCTCACCCTCCTCCTCCTCGCTGGCTAACCTTGGGTGAGTCAGCTTGGCAGGGAGCACAGACCTGAGCTGTGGGCCTGCCAAGCCTGCCTTGACTCATCCCAGCAGCTCGGCCTTCCCCAGGGATGTCAGATGGAGGAGCTCCATGAGCAGGAGGATTCCACTGCAGCTGCTGACACCTTTCCATTGGGCTCCACCAGCCAGCTGGAAATCCCAAACCAACTAAGGCAGTGTCACAGAGATGGTGGGGTGAAATCAAGTCAGGCCAGTTAAATGATTTCACTTGTCTTCACTCCCTTCTATCTTCAGTAGGATGTAGCTGGTCTCTGTGGTTCAAAGGTGCATCCAGCTTCCCTTTGAGGAACCTTTCTGGAAAGCTTTCTTCCTAGACAGAGGTTTGGAGAGCTTGTGGAGCCCATGAAGTCCCAGCTACCTCTGCGTTCTGCAGCCTTCCTTTGGCTCAGGGCTCTGCTGGTGAACACAGAGCAAATATTCCCCCTCATTGCTTGCCTTGAAGGTCCTCTTGCTGGGGTGGTACAAGCTCAGTGAAGTTCCAGGTTGTAGCAGAATTTCTGGCCCAATTATATGGGTTTCTCATTTCTTTTTTTTGGAGAAGAGGGAGGAGGAAGCACTTGCTTCCCTCTTTTTTCCCCAAGACCCATGAAGATGCTGAGACCACTGGAACATGCAGCAATCAGCTAGTCCTCCTCCTCCTCCAGGAAAAGAAATTAACCTCAGGGGAATAAGAAGGTTCATCACAGTCCCTTATTTCCATCTCTTTGTAGTATTGGCTTTGGTCTTGCTTCATTGCCTTGTAACCATGGTGTCGATTAGGATATTGCCCTTAAAGCAGGAGGGATGTTATTCCAGGTGGAAGGTCCCAGTGTTTGCAAACAAGGAAAGAGCTGGGTGAAAAAAAAAGTAGAATGCCATTTTATTCCAGGGCTTTTAAGAACTCCTTGTTCTTTATGTAGATTTAAATAAAAACCCAGAGACTTGCATTAACCAGCCCCTGTGCCTGGAAGAAAAAAATGTTCAGTGCAGAAACATGTTTTGATTTGGAGTTTTCAGAAGGAGGCTGCAGAGAAGTGGGATTATTTTAATATCATGGAAACTTCCCTTCAGGATATTGTCATTTTCTTGCTTGTGCTTCTTGTTCTTGTTACTCTGAACCTGGTAATCCAACCTTTTTGCTTGAAGTGTTGGGAGGGTGTGTGGCCACGGATGAGCTGCTGGGAGCAGGAGTATTCCTGAGTGCTCTGCAAAACGTGCTCTGGGCTTGAACTTGGGCTGATCTGCCTGGAAATCCTCATGGTGAGAGAGGGTCTAGTGCACAGGGGGCCCTGCCTCTTCATAGAATCATAGAACCCTGGGCTGGTTTGGGTTGGAAGGGACCTGAAAGCTCATCTAGATCCAACCCCCTGCATGTGCAGGGACACCTCCCACTAGACCTGGTTGCTCAGAGCTCCATCCAACCTGGCCTTGGTTTTGTTGTGTATCTGGGCTCCTGCAATGCAGCTGATGACTGGGAGGGCTACACCAGCCTGCAGACTGTGATGACTGGGAGCCAGTTGCTACTGTGGGCGTGAAAAATAAGAGCAGTCCTTGGGCAGCTGTCCCTGTGGAGATGGCACTGGAGATGTGAGTCAGGCCGGGCAGCTGAAGAGCTGCCTGAGGGAGTCACCTCCATCAGATGCAGAAAGCACACAGGGAAACTGGGTTGGGTGTTTTTGAGGAAGCTGGGAAGGCCTGGAGGATTTGGGGGGTTCACATCATAGGGTTTCACCTTCCTTCCTATGCTCTGCAGCTCATCTGTGCTCATTGCTCAGTACTGAGGGAGTGGAGCAGCCACAGACATCTTGTGATCATAACAGTACAGAGTGGAGATAGTTTATTTCTGGCTAGGAGAAAAAAAACAGTTGGCAACTATTTTCCCTAGAACTCAGTTGCATCAAATTTTATATATTTTTTATCAGAGAGCCTGCAGGAAAGCTGGGGAGGGACTTGGGACAAGAGCAGGGAGGGATGGGACAAAGGGGAATGGATTGAAACTGGAAGAGGGAGATGGAGGTTGGAGATGAGGAGGGAATTCTTGGGTGTGAGGGTGGTGAGAGCCTGGCCCAGGTTGCCCAGGGAAGCTGTGGCTGCCCCATCCCTGGCGGTGTTGAAGGGCAGGTTGGATGGGGCTTGGAGCAGCCTGGGCTGGTGGGAGGTGTCCCTGCCCATGCAGGGGGTTGGATCTGGATGATCTTTCAGCTCCCATCCCACCCAAACCAGTCTTGGATTCTGTGATCATGGATCTTTGCAGGTAGTTTCATTTCAAGGCCAAAACCATGTTCTCGGAGGAGCTGATTCCTGAGCAGACACAAAGAAGACCTTCCTGAACATGGAGAGGGCTGGAGCTCCACGCCAGGGGAAGGATGCCACCAGCCTGCAAAGGACATATTTTTGAGCCATGCCCGAGCATCTCTGGGTTTGCAACCAAAACAATTCACACATCAGGCCTATAAATAGGGTGCAATACTCCCTGGTTATTTTAGCAGCCGGAACAGCCCTAGAAATGGAGGGTGATTTTTTACTATGTGCTGGTTACCTGACCTGCAGGCACCAGCTGCTGGGAACCAGGCACAAGTTGTGTGAGCTGCCCCCACACCACTCCATGCCTGTTCTCCAGAGTCCATTTTTAGCAGTGTGAAAGGGAGCTGGAGCTGGCTGGAGGGGTTTTTTTCCCCTCAGCAGGGACAGCCAGCATGTGTGTCCCCCGGATGGTGGGAGCTGATGGTGTGGACAGCTGTCCACTGGGATGAGGCTGGAACTGGGCACGGCTCCCTTTGGATCAGGTTGGTCCTGCCATTCTGGAGTATCTCAGAGTGCAAACCAAGAAGATATTTAGAAAAGGAGGTTTCAAGAAAACTGGGACTACTCAGCTCCATCCCAAAATACTGGTCTTTTAATAGCAATTGTGATTGAGAAGCAAATGTCCCCAGGAAACGTTCTGCTCTCACATGGTGCTGTTGCACCCAGCCTGGGTTTGAAATCCCGAGGACAGCATGAAGATTTGGAACAAACCTTTGGATCCTTCTAGTCCTGGCTGCTTGCAACACTTAGCATTTCCTTAATAGCATGGTAGCTTGACAACACAAATGAACCCAATTTTGATCCCATGACAACAAAAACACTTGTATTTGCTCTTGGCTGGTCAATTCAAATCCATTTGCTTATTTGGTCGGTGAGGTGCGGAACGGGTGTTTTAAATGTGTGTGTTAAAACAGTCAGCAAAGTTCCTTAAAATATCTTGTATCACTGGAGATTTGCTGCCAGATAGCAAGTAGGAGGGAGCAGTCATTGATGTAGCATGGGGAGAAGGTTGAGCTTTAGTTCTGTGCTCTTCACCAGCACAGGTTTCTCCTCCCTTTGTGAGGTGCTGTGGTCAGCTTCGACCGTGGCTGAAGTCCAAGGATTTCATCTTAGGGAGCTGTTGTGGGAATAAGGGGGGTTCTGAGGAGCAAATAATAGAGAGACTGGAGGGCTTGGTGTTGGCTTGAGGGGTTTTGGGGAAGGAAAACCATCCTGGGGAGGATGGGGAGAAAAACCATCCTAGGGAGGATGGAGAGAGCAACTAGGTGGGGGTCTGGCAGCCAAGGACAGTCAAACTCCTGCAGACCCCTCACAGGGGCCCCTTGTGGGATGACTGCTGGGGGAGGGGTGACTCCTCTCAGCTTCTGGGACCATCCATGGTGCCTCTGGAAGAGGGAGCAGGCTCTTTGCAGCAGCTCCAAGCCAAGCTGTGGGTGCCTGTGTTGCCGCGTGCTAAGTTGCCATCTCTCTGCTTTTAATGCATTCCCACTGACACTGTCAGCTTCCAATTCATGTGCTGGAGCACATCCTTGGAATGAGCTGAGGCAGTTGGTGGCAGTGTCTTTTGCTCTGAGAGAGTCTGGAGGAAAAAAAAAACCCAACCACCAAGACTTCATTTACACTTGAAGTGTCACACCCATTCCAGCTCCAGCTTTCCCTGGGTTCACGTAGGCATTTCCTGAGGACAGGTTTCCCTGCACAGGTAGTTGCCTCTCCAGGCTCTGCTGCAGTGGCTTTGAGCTGATTTCCATCTCTTCTTTCCACAGGTGGAGAGAGACTTTGAAAGGGAGTATGGAAAGCTTCAGCAGTAAGTATCAACCATACTGGTTAAACTGGAACAGCAGCATACTTCTCTGTTGTGCCCTCTTATTGCATCTTCCCGGGAAATCTGTGCTCTTCCCAGGAAATCACTCACTGCCCTGTAATTTCTAATTGTTTAGAGTTTCTCTGGTGACTGGGTATTCCAAGGTGTCCTAAGAGCTATTTGCAGTGGGGTTGGGCTTTGCAGATGAGGGTAGTTCTCAAGTAAAAAAGTGAAAAGTGGCCAGAAAACTGTGGGGCCACTGAACAGCTCAGCACCTCTGAGGACAAATATTGGTTTGACCACACTGACTGTGTCCCATCAACTCACACTTCCCATCTGGAAACGTTTGGCTTTTCCCATTTGTGGTAAGTGTGAGGATTGAAGGAAATATGTGACTTGGAATAAGGGGTCACCCAGTTGAGAAGGTTGAAAACTTATCTGAAAACAAGCAGCAAAGGTTGGGCAGCACTGAACTTCATCAAGGCTTGCCTGGGTATTTTTAACTCACAACAGAAGCCAGCATATTCAGCCCATAAATGATTTGTTGCATGTATGATGCACTTCAGTTTGTTCCTTTCCAAGATTCAGACTTTGCCTTGTTCTCTCATCTTTCAGATTGGAAGATCAGACCAAAAAACTTCAGAAGGATATGAAGAAAAGCACAGATGCAGACTTGGGTATGTGACTGTAGGATACATAGACTGTGAACTTGGCCACAACGAGATGAAGTGACTTTCTCAAGATCACATGAGTAATCTGTGACAAGTCTGGAAAACAAATCTAGATCTCAGTCCCACTCAGTTTGCTTAGTTACAAGGCCATCTGCATGAGGGCTGCTGAGCAGGATCTCAACCAAGGGAACAGAAAGTGTGTTATGGGCTGTCCCTATCTCTTGAGCTTGCTGTGTGGCCTTGGAGAAGTCACTTTCTTTTCTTTGCCTCAGTTTCTGTGACTGAACATAGGAGTTATTATTCCAGATGTCACCTTAGGCAGGCAGGAGCAGTCTCCAGCTGAGCCTGTTGTGTCGAGCCATGCATGTTCATCTCCCTCAGTGAGGGCATATTGTGCAACCTGAAGCCAGAGGAAGGTGGGACGAGGCTTTGGGGGGTCTGCAGGGCACCATGTAGGCATCTCTGTGTGTGTTTCACCCCCAAACAGGTCTCAGGCAGGAATAACCTTCTTTGTTCCCTTGGTGCCTGCTTGCTTTGGCTTCACCTTGTGGCAGTGGGTGATGGAGGAAGCACTTAATTAGTCATCTCTGCCTGCTGCTACCTGCACAGGGGACATCTGCCCCCCAGGTGACCTGTCCCCAGGCACAGCAGCCCCTGCCTGCTCCTTTCACAGCTTCTCTGGTAGGAAACTGGGGATTTGTGGTGAGATCCTGGAACAGGTTGCCCAGGGAAGCTGTGGCTGCCCCATTCCTGGCAGTGTTGAAGGGCAGGTTGGATGGGGCTTGGAGCAGCCTGGGCTGGTGGGAGGTGTCCCTGCCCATGGCACGGGTTTGGAATTGGATGATCTTTAAGGTGTCTTCCAACCCAAACCAGCCTGTAATTCTGTGAAACTGGTGTGACCTCAGGCTTTAAAGGAAGATGGGAGAGAGAAGCTGGAGTGATCCAGCAGAGGGGCTCTTGGAGAAGGGGCAGGGAAAGGGAAAAAGCCCCTTGGGTGCTCTTCACGAGTGGCAGGGCTGGCAAATTTGGGGCTTCTCATAATCCAGACTCTCACCTGGGTGTAACTCTGTGGGCACGCTTGGATATTGCCAGATATAAACACAGATCCCAGCTCTCTCCCACCCTTCCCAGCACTGGGCTGGCACGTGCATGTGCCTGCGCAGGGAACCGGAGCTTCCAGGACTCCTTTCCAGGGTGAAAACTGCCCTTTCTGGGGGCTTTGGTCATTGTCAGTGATCCTTGGTAAGTTTTTCCTTGTTAAGGATTCCCCTCCCCTCCCTTGCAGTGGGCGTTGTTTATATGGAGCATTTCAAGTCCCAGAGGAGCTGTGGGAGGACTTTCTTTTTCCGTTCTGTTACATGGCAGAGTCACAAATGAGCTTTGGCCAACTCCAGCAAGATCTGATTTCTCATTTAAAGGCATGAAATCATGGGTGTAAGGAAAGATTTTGAATGTGATCTGCTGAGGGATGGGTGAAGGAAAAGGAGGTAGATCAGATCAAGCACTGAGGACTTGTTTCCTCACCTGGCAGTGCCCATTCCCAAGAGGAGATGGTAATTCCTCAGCCAACATCCAGCCCCCACACTAAGGATGGCAGGATGTCAGCTTGGTTGTGTCCTCCTGAGTGTCTGATTTCTTCCACTGTCCCTTTGTGCTGAGGGGGTTGATTGTTGTCTGCAGACACTCCCTAACAAACTGGACCTGGTGGCTTGAGTCTCTGTCATCTTCCAGAACAGACTCAGCTGAAGATGAAACCAATTCCTCCATCCATGCAAAAATGTTCCTGTGGGGCTCAGCTGCTGCCCAAGCTGGGAACAGGGCATGGGTTCTTAGCAGCACTCTCTGTCCTTCAGATCACTAACCCCCCTTTCCTTGCCCTCTTCCCAAACAAAACAGGATCTTAAGGAGCATGAGGAGGTTCTTTAATTGGAGATGGAAGTTGTCCTTTTGAATTGAGGTGCAGGTGACCCACTGGATCACCGTGCCAGAGCATGCCTGGCTGTTCTCCACTACTTTTGTTTTGGGGTTGCTCTCCTCTTCCTAGTAACAAGCAACAAGGCAAGAAGATGTGGCCTCAAGTTGCACCAGGGGAGGTTTAGGTTAGATATTAGAAGCAAATTATTCAGGTAAAGGGTGATTAGACACTGGCACAAGCTGCCCAGGGAGGTGTTTGGATCCCTATCCCTGGAGGTGTTCAAAAGCTGTGTAGATGTGGTGCTGAGGGACATGGTTTAAGCACTGGACTTGGGTTCGTGGTTGGATTTGGTGATCTTAAAGGCCTTTTCCAATCAAAATGGTGCTGTGGTCCTGTTGTGATGCAAAACAACCATATCTCTCTGAAGTCCCCTCCTTCAGTTGGAGTTAGGTCCCTCATGGTTTATGAGCAACATGCAGTTCAGACCCCCCTGAAGCCCAGCAGGGTCTGCAGAGCTACCTTGGGAAGGGCAGAGCTCCCCCTGTTTGCATTTTTAGGGCTCTACAGGTGAGGTCAGCGAGGCAAGGGAAGTGCCTGCCCCAAAAGTCCTGAAAAAGCCCCAATTTCTGGGCTCCCAGCGTGACCCCAGCGCTCCCCTGCCTGCGCCTTCCGTCCTTTCCTTCTGAAGGGAAACTCATTTTCCTCCCAGCTGAAGGAGTTCTGCCATTCTTAACTCCGTCCTGTTTTGGCACAAATCCTTCCTCAGATGTGGTCACACATATGGATTATATCCCATCTGTTTAAGGATTTAAATGCCTAAACCCTTAATGTTTGGATAATAGACGGATACGGTAGCTTTGTTATTCCGTAGTTCACATCTCCTTCTGCATTGAGTTTCCCGGGCTCCTCAGCTTCTGAGCTCTCTGTATAATTGTGTCTAACCTTTAAATCAGAATGTTTAACCCCTTGATTTATGATTTTAAGCCCCATTATTCAGATGGCTTTAACTTTTAATATCTGAGTGTGGCTTTCCAAAGCTCGTCTGTGGCATGGCTTGAGCATCTGGCTTTCTGATCTTAAACTGGAATAACTTTCAGCAACAGTGCTGACAAAAAAGAACATTTTATTTTAGCACCCATGACTTTTTTACTTCTTTATTCCCATTTGCCTGCCTTTTTATTAATCTTTTCTTCCCCCCACCCCATTCTTGCTCTTTTGTAGCATTCCTGGTGTAGAAGACCAAGTGTGTGGGTAGGAAGAGGGATGGAAAACAAGCAGGAGTCAGACAGGAACTGGAGCCCATCAGTGTCACCTGGTGTCCCTGGGTTTCCTGGTGGCAGCCTCAGGGTCTGTAGAACCTTCAGCCTTTGCATTTTCCCCTGGCTTTGTGGGGTTGGTCCCCACAGGCAGCAAATTTAGGCTCTTTGAGGGAAGTTGCTTCCTCAGCTTGTGTCTCTGCTGCTCATGTCGTGCTTATTTAGAGAGGAAAAGAGAAACCTCTTCCAGTCCTGTCACTCTGGTCCTTTTCCACCAGCACTAAATCCACTTCACATCCATATTTTTGTCAAGCCATTTGAAAGACTTAATGGACTGTGATTTTTCTCGTTGTGGAAGAGCTGTAGTGAGACTGAGAGTGACACTTAATAGTCTGTTGAGAAAAGATGGATTAAAAAAACCCTCCGTCTACATTTTTTTTTAACGGTGCTTTTGTTAGCCTGGCATTATTTCTGGCAACATCACAAGCTGTACATTGGAGTGGTTCAGTTTTAACTTAGAGAAAAACAGTTTTCTGGGGGTTTATGTGAATGAATTGGCTCTTCCTTTCCTTTCTCTCAACCCATGTGGAACATCATCCTGGACAGTTGTGCCCCTCGCTGGCTGAACTCCTGGCATTATTTCTGGCAACATCACAAGCTGTACATTGGAGTGGTTCAGTTTTAACTTAGAGAAAAACAGTTTTCTGGGGGTTTATGTGAATGAATTGGCTCTTCCTTTCCTTTCTCTCAACCCATGTGGAACATCATCCTGGACAGTTGTGCCCCTCGCTGGCTGAACTCCCTGAGCTTTGCCCACAGTCACCCTTGGCAGATGCAGGAGCCAGCCCTGGCTGTCCCCATCAGGCAGCTGCTGGAATCTGACCCTCTCTGCTTTCCTTTGCATGCTTCTGTTGCCCACAGCCATGTCTAAGTCAGCTGTCAAGATCTCCTCAGACCTGCTGTCCAACCCCCTGTGTGAGCAAGAACCCAGCTTCCTGGAGATGGTCACGGCCTTCGACACCGCCATGAAGAGAATGGACTCTTTCAACCAGGAGAAGGTAAACAGGGGTTTGGCTGAGGAATGGGAGAGACCAGGGTGTGCCAGAGTGCTGCTGGTATCTCCTCCTTCCCTTTTTGTTACTGTCTCCCATATGAGTTTCTTTATTAATCTGCTTCTGGCTCTTGTGCTGGGGTTGCAGCTCATCCCGAGCGCACAGGAGAAGTTTGCTGGTCGTTGTGGTTGTGCTCACAAGCCCCCATCATCCCCTGGTAGGCTCTGTGCAAACATGGATCTTTGTGCAAACAGGCTTTTTTTTTTTCCCACCAAGGCTGACATATCATCATCCCTTTTGCTTTCAACAGGTGAATCAGATCCAAAAGACAGTCATAGAGCCTTTGAAAAAGTAAGTACCAACATTGCGGTGTGAACCATGCTGAGTGTTTGTCATCACCGTGTGCTTTAGGGATGAGCATCAGGGAAGGAGATCTTGTCAGGTTAGAAAGCAGGTCTTCCTGAAGAGGTAACAGTTCACATCCCTGTAACATCCTCCTTGCTTTGTCACTGGGAGGTGGGATGGTTTAGCTGAGTCCCTGTTCCAGTGTCTCACCACCCTCACACTCAAGAATTTCCTCCTCATGTCCAACCTCCATCTCCCTCCTCCAGTTTTCATCCATCCCCCCTCATCCCATCCCTCCCTGCCCTTGTCCCAAGTCCCTCCCCAGCTTTCCTGGAGCCCCTTCAGGCACTGGAAGGCTGCTTTGAGGTCTCCCCCTTGGAGAAAGTCATGTAGACCTCTGCAGGAAAAGCTTCAGACTGTGCATGGGGGGAAAACCCACAGCAGAGTAACACCAAGAGCCACCTTGTCACCAGGATGGGATCCAAACCTTGCTCCAAACCATGCCTGTTGGAAATAAAACCTTGTCAGAGAGCAGGTTTCCCTGCTTCCCCCCCTTTCCTTGCTGTGCCATTCAGTGCATCAGGACTCAGTTGTGCCTCAGCTCCGTGGCAGTTTTGTCACCTTGGTCTGACCTGCTGCAATTCCCTCTGTCTGCACCATTTCCCCCAGCTTTTGCAGCCATTATCTGTGTCACAGGCTCTACCCCCCAAACATTTAGCAGTTTGCTGTTCCAAACCTCTGCTTGAAACCCTGAGCTCTGCTGTTCTGTTACCAGAAGAGAAAATAAAATGACTTTAATATGACACTAAGTGTTGCAATTTGCTGAATAACAATTTTAGTTTAGGTTTGACACAGGGGTGGCTTGTTGTTTTGGTTTGGGTTTTTTATTTTTCAAGTTGTTGTTGCCCAAACCTGAAAGGAAAAATCTCATCTGCCACTTAGTGCATGAGGTTAAGGTGTGTTTATATCCAGGGGATGTTTGGTGACTCAAGTTTTACCTTGGCTGTCTGGCCATGACCAGAAATTCTTGATTATTTAAGATGAAAAAAAAACACAGAAGGAAGAAAGAAAGAAAGCAAGAAAAGGATCCCAGGCTTGTGCTGGGGAATTGTGTTGCTTATTATCTAGATTGTCCTCATGAAAGATACATTAACTTCTTCTTCCAGCATTCAGTTAAAATTGGAAGAAGGGCTTAATTCTCTGAAATCTTCATGGTTGCCTTTTTTTTCCACCCCCCCAAGCTGTCTTAGTTGATGAAATGAAGGAAAATACCTTTCCCTGCAAACCTGGCCCTGTGTTTCAAACCCTGGGCAGTGTGTGGGGGCATTAATTTAAGACAATAAACCCATTTCCATGTTGTTTTATTCTGCATTGCTGCAGTGTTTGGCTGCTGGTCTAGATGCTGCACAGAAGGTCCAGAAGGGGAAACCTCTTTTTTTTCTTTCCTTGCTTTGGATTTGAGGCAGCTTTGCAAGGTCATGGTGTATTATTCC